TATTTCATTTAATGAATTTAATCTTCTAAAGATCGCCTCATCACATGCTACCTCCAAATTTTCAATTCCATCAATTCTAACATCATCAAAATACATTCTTACAGCAGCATGTATATTTTCTGTATTATTCGGATTATTACCAGGTTCTAATATAACTACATTTGGTGGTTCAACTTGACATCTACTTTTTAAATCTTTTAATAATTCTTTACGAACGTCTTGAATATTAAAATCCTTTTTATGTAAATTCAAAGGTAAACGAAAAGTATTTTCAAAATTTTGTAATTTATTTTCTACAAATGATGATATACCAACATTAAAATGGTAATTGGTTATAGATACAGATTCTGTTATGATTTTTGATAATGGATGTGGCAATCGAAATTAGAAAACCATTCTCAATGTTGCATGCATTGTACGTCTTGTAGCATCAAAAATATTGTCATATGCAAAAGTTTCTTCACAAAAGTCTATATTATCAATTACACATAAGTTCCATACATTTTCACCCCTTATTAAAATTTCTTGTATATTAGTTTCATTGGCCCTTTTTTTGCTAACCTTCATTCATGTTGTTGAGTATGCGAGACCACATTAGCCATACAAAAAATGGCATAAAGAGATGCTTGTAATTTTGGTTTTCTACATATGAAACTCATTACATAATTTAACCAAAAATGAACATCAGAAAAAGAAATCGTAAGTATAATAAATATTAAAAAGATTGAAATTTTTTCTGCACATAATATATTAAAATCTTTTAACTCTAAACCTCTTTATTTACGTTTTTTTGAACTACCTCCCATTTTTTTTTTGAAGTAAAATTATAAGACCATCAAAAAAATTACAAATGTAAATAGAAAATTCATTATAATATTGTTCTAAACATTATGGTTCTTCTAACTTCCTTTTTATTTTTTTGTATATTTGATCGTGAATGCTAAATAACTATTCCAAATGCTTCTTCAAGTTCTTTTGATTGTTTTTTAAAAAGGTTACAATATCTGTTTATATTTTTCATCTTAATCAAATTTACTTTATTTAATCTAAAAGCAATTTTTATTGCTAGAAAACTTGGAAGTTTGAGATTTGATAAAGAATTTAATTCTTGTTGCTATTTTTCATTACCAGTACTTTCAGATGAATGAGCAGAAGGAACAGGTGGATTTTTCAGTGGAGTTGAATGTAATAATAATAGTTGTGTTTTTTTTTTGAAAAAATTAACAAATAATAAGAAAAGTTCTTTAAGAAGCAAATCCTTAATTATTTGATCTGAAGATGTTACAACATCCTGAATCCAACGTCCTAGAAGATTAAGGGACATATTTAAAGATGAGAGACAAAATTCAAAAAAGGCAATTAATAAACAGCCGAAACTATATTAAAACATAGTGAGGGGTATGACGAAATCCCGAAACCCAAAATTAGCCAAAACTATATTAAAATCATAGTAAGGGATATGACGAAATTATTTTGAGGGAGTTTCGGCTGGCATCTTTAGACATATTGTTATCTTCAATGTGTTTATCAATACAAGAAAAGGAAAGTTTGTTTCCTCTCCTTTTTCTTTAATAATAGTGACCTCCTTCTGATTCAAAACAAGATGAACATATATATCGCACGTACATTGTACTTGATAAATGACTAACTAGTACAGTCATACCTCTCTATAGCGAATTTTTATATAACGAATTTTTTGGACAACTATATTAAATTTACCCTCGTTATAACGAACTAGCCAATCAAATTCTTTAAAAAATTCACTATAGCTCTATAGCGAAGTTGAAGTTCAGGACATAAAATTCGTTATATCAAGGGTTGACTGTATATTTCTTTAAAAATAAAATATACATTTATTCTACAGCATGGTACATGAACATTTCATTCTAGAACTTTCCAAGAATGTTATTTGCAACCTCCTCCTCTGCTAAAAAAATATTGTCATTATGACAAAATAAACAACGTCTTTTATAGATCCAGGATTTTTCTGTAGATGTAGAATTTTTTAAGCCATGTGTATGTAATTTATTTTGATCAAAATTGAAGTGGTTTGAGCATACACCTAACAAATTTGATGCTTCTAGCCGATTTGCTTTAACAATCTCATCAATTAAATTAAAATCTAATTCTTATATTTCAACAAGTTATCGAAGTTGACGAAATATTTTATTTGAACAACATACTAACTTTCCATCTATAATATCCACAATTACATATTTACCATCAGATTTACTAGTATTTCCTTCCTTTACTTCATAATCAATCTCTTCATTATCATCTGTTATTGAAGTCCATAAAGAATCTACTTTAGATTGAATGTCAAAATCGAAACCCAATCAGTCTACATCATTTTCATCATCTTCAAATTTGCTTGATTTTAATTCTATATATTCTTTAACATTTTTTAGTGATTCTTCGTTGAAATCAAGATCATAGTCATATTGGTTAGTTTCAACTGATGATGCTCAGGATTTAGGCATTTCAGATAAATTATCTGTGTAACTATTATTATCAAGAAGTTTGTACTCATTATCTGGATCATTATATTCCTTAAGTTTGCTAAAATATAGATGTTAGTCTTCTTCGGTCATTTTTCATTTAACGTTAGACTTCTTGCAACACATAATGAAATAAAAAAGATAGAAAGAAATATAAAAAGGTAAGTGAAGATTATGCATGTTAAAGGTCAAAAATTAAATTAACAATTATATTTAACAAGCCAAAGTTCTCAGTAATTTTACAAATTTAAAGGTAAAGAAATTAAAAAATTATAAATGCTACTGTTATTATTACCAGTGTCAAAAATTTATTTTGTTTTAAAAGGATGAATTTTTAACTGAATGAAAATATGAGTATTTCTACAAAACTACTTGGTTCAAAATTTTTAAAAACTGTTTAAAAAGTTGGGAAAGAATCAAAAACTGTGTAAGAAAGTGGGGGAAATTAACGTTATGAGTTAAAATTAAAAAAAATAAAAAGACCGATTCCAAATTTTATAATTATGTTGCAGTTATGCCACGATTTTTTTCAACTACATACTTTAAGAACCTATATATTATATTATTATATAATATAGGTCAAAAAACTGCCTCTTTGTTATAAAATAAACGAAGGGTAGCTTACATTATTAAAAAGGTATCAACAAGCGAAAGAAAATGATGTATATGAAAAAATTTTAATTCCGAAATCATTATAAGTAGATTCTCATATGAGATGTAGTAGCCTCCAACATTTGAGAACATATTCACCGATCGCTATTATTTACAATTCTTATATAATTGGAAAAACTATACTCAACATCAATTCTTAAAATAGGTAACCATATAATAATATATAGTAAAATTAAAGATCTTTAGATTGCATAAATATTTTATAAATTTTCATCAAAATCCAGGCAAAATATTTTTATTTAAAAGAGTATTCAATTTTAAAAATGCAGAAAAATATATATTTTTAAAGTAATAGATAGAATAATTTTATATGTAAAAATGAAAAAACTTATAAAAAGATTATTACTTATACTTTGTTATAAGAAATATTTTGATGTTTTAAAATTTTTTATTTATTTTAATATATAAAAATTATAATTGGTTAGCTTTTAAATTAAATATTATGCAGCCTAAAAATCTTCAATTTTACTATATATTACTAAGTAAATTTTATAAAATTGAATACTTTTTGTAAGTCAATCTATAAATTAAAACTATTTTGAAAGAATTTTTTTTTCTTGCTAATATTAATTTAAATCCAAATCATCATTTTCAAAAAAAAATTTGAATCCTTTAATAATCGCTTTAATGACATAATCATTTTATAAAAAAATGTGAATAATCTATTTCTTAAATAGTAAATACAATATTAGATCATGTGAAAAATGCAAAAAATAATAAAATTGCTTCAAAAGTTTAATACATGTATTATATAAAATTATAATGCATAAATGTGAAATTATATAAATACATGAATTTGTGAGTTCTAATGTAGAGTGATCCATATTCTATGATGATATAATATACATAAAATTAAGATTTTTGCATTAGTTATACTGTTGCAGATTTATTAAATTTCACATTTTTCACTTTCATGATTTAAGATGATTGATTATTTGTTTTTTTCCAAACTTTTTTAATTTTTTTTTATAATAGTTTTAACAATTGAACATAAACTTGAAAGCTCAGAATATAAAAAATTTTTATGTTGATAATTAAAACTATTTTGTGAATTTTGTTAAAGTATTTTAAATCATAAATAAATTTATATTAGATTTATATTTAAAGTTAGATAAATATAAAAAAATATATATATAAGTTGAAAATAAAATAAGATTTTGTCAAATTATCTTTAATGTCAATAATAATAGATTAAATAAATGTAAAGTTCTTAATACTGCTTTAATAAAAGCATTTACATAAGCAGATATGTCACTTAAAAAAGTAGACAAATTTAAAGACTTTTTTTTGGAATTTTGTAGAAATAATATATAAAATTTTTTTTTTGATTTATTATAAATCATTAATAATATTATAGATAAAGCTATTACAAGCTCTTCTTTATTATTAGAAAAATATTTGCCAATTGTCTTTAATATAAAGAATTTAGTATGCAAGAAATAATATGTAATAAATATATATTTATTACAATTGATAAAACTACAAATGTTTATGATTAGACAATTATCAATGTTTTATTTAAGTTTAATAATTAAACTAAATTAGTTAAGACAAAATATTTGGATAATATTAATAATACTATTATTGCTCAATTGGTTATAAGAATCTTACAATTTTATAATATTTCTCATAACATTCTTATCTTTTTATTTTTGATAAAATAGTATTTATATTAAAAGCCTTTTAAATATTATTCTCCTTAATTTTTTAATTAGAACATAATTATTATTTAGCTCATATTTTAAATTTAGTTAGAGAAATATAAATTAATTATAAGAGTTTCAAATTTCTAGTTAATATTGAAGCAAACATAAAAAATCATTCATTCATTACATTAATTAGAATAATCCATTTTATCATTTTTTAAAGTGCAGAATATTAGTCAAAATATAATCTAATTTCTGCTGAACATTGTAAAAAAAAATTGGCATTTTAGTTATAACTAAAGTTGTCAAATATAACTGTTATTTAATAATTAATAGTTGTTTGATATTGTTACATGAAAATGACATAGATGACTCAAATGACGAATATGACTGCGGTGACTAAAATGTCATATATGTCTTCTATGTCATATATCTTATATATTTCTTTTATTCACTATATTATATATATCTCTTTTATTACTTATATTTCTTATATCTCATATATTTATTATAGTTATTATATCTCTTATATTATTTATATTTCCTATATGTCTTCGAACACTTTATGTATTCATTTTATATAAATATATCTTGAGTCTTAGAGTAGTTAACAGAAGAGAGTTTTGAAGTAAGTTTAGAATAGTCAGAGTACTTCCTTAGATAGTTTGATTTAATATAAAACATTTGCACAATACAGAGCGCTGACAGAGGTAGTACTCATTTGTTAAGACATATTGAATAAATGATCGACCTTTTTGACTCAATCTATATCGACTTATAAACTTATACCTTCTGCTTACTTTACCGCATTTTTAACCTTTAAGCGACCTTAAAGAACTATCTATAACACTTGGTGCCTTCTGCCAGAAATTATTCATTGAAATGTTCATGTTTAATGAACATTATCTAAATAATCGACAACACAATCAATTGCACATCAATTTTAATTCACATAATATTACTGCATATCACTGTGTTAAATCTTGCTATATTTGTTATCCCCCTAAAACAGTCACAACAGAACATTTTCGATACTTTTGGAATTGGATTACTGTTGAATATCCTGCAGTAACATTTACACATTACACATAACAATATATAGAAGAACTGAATTATACTTATCTTTATATTGGTACTACTGACGCAGTAAACAACGTCCTTCAAAACCTCATATTTAGCATACGATACAATGTTGGATTTGAAGTGTCACCCATAATCGTTAGACAAAATATATACAACACTTTTATTATAACAAGAGGATTTGTCTTAAACCCATTACACACATTATATCAGATATCTGAAATAACTTCCATACCACCTTCCGTTACATCAGACGATACTGAATCGACTATTTCAAGTAATACAACCGATAATAATCTACATATTAATAGCCTACTATATACCAATGAGAATCTAAACTTAGAAAATTTATTTGCTGAAATGGTTGCAAATCAAGCTGATATACAAGCATTAACCAATGTGTTGCAAAATGTTCTCAATGTATTTGCTTCACAAGGATAGCCTGCTCTTAATAATGGATTAGCAAATCTGACTGCACAACTTTAAGCTAAGGTAAATGCCTTGCAAGCAAATCAACCATGATGAGAAACACGTATCGCTGAGTTGCCCTATTTTTATGAAGGAAATCAGGATCCAATAAGCTGGATAGCAGAATTTACACGTACTTGTAATGCAAACGGCATTAACAACGCTCAAAAAATAGAGGTAATCCCTGCATATTTGAAAAATGCTGCATCCACCTGATGGATGATGAATCAGGCTCTTGCGAACAACAATGCAAATCATATTACAGCATGAACTGGTAACAATAATAATACAGATTTTACCCAGAACTTCTCAGCGGTATTCAGATCACAAACTTTGGTAGAAATTTGGACTACTGAACTGGAAAAGAGAAGACAGCAATCAGGCGAAGTAGTAGATGATTATGCAAGTGCTTTGTTGAAATTATATACCAGAGTTGAAACCCCGCCTTTCAGTACTCTGATGCAATGAAGGCTCGACGACTTGTTAGCGGTTTATTACCAGAGCTTCATTTGCTGGTCAAACCTTTTAATGATCAAACATGGAATGCAGCGTTAGACATGGCTAAACAATATGAATTAGCATATAGGGATACAAATGCTATTGAAGCATACATGAACAAATATGCATCGCCGCCGCAGCATTGAATCAATTTAATAATTTAAACAATGCTATTGCTGCTTTAACCCAACAAGTACAGCAACTTAATGTTCAGAATACCTCTAGAAGAAATAACCAAAGGTTCACTATAGGACAACCTAGTCAAACACAAGGGAACTTTCAAAATAATAATATAATAATAAATAATCAGAACAGAGGAAATATCACCTGTTACGATTGCAGACAACCAGATCATATTAAAAGAAATTGCCCTCTTAATCCAATGATACCAAATCTATCTATCAATATAACAGCATTCAATAACCTACCAGTTGTTAATAATCCACCACCAGTAAATAATGTGATTAATACTACATCACCAAATAATAATACACTTCAAAATAATACTACGCTACCTAAGGTTGCTAGACAAAATTAAGAGTTTAGACAGACGTCTAAATGGTAAAAGTAAAACTTAGTTAAATTATATTAAAACCTTATTAAAAAATCTGCGAAATTTGGAAAAAGGTAAAACTATATCAAAGCTTATAAAAATGGCAAAACTATATCAAACACTTAGTAAAAATTTAGCGAAACTAAAGGTTTTACCATTTTGCCAAATCCAAAATGAGTTTAGACAAGCAACCTTAACGCTACCTAACAACGTTCCCAACTTACAGGCTCTACAGTTGCTAGCACAAATGATAGGACAAGGAGATGCTGATAATAACCTAACTTTAAACTCTTTAAACTAGAAGGTGTACCACCGGAGGGTGATAGTACAGAACCTTTTACAATTCCCTCAAATCTTTCTTTAACAGAAGTATACGTAAACAAAAGAGGACGACATGATGAAAATCAAGACGAAGAAGACATTATTAGAAAAAGAGAAACTAAGCAAAAAGCTGAGGCTGCAAAACGAATAAACAAACCAAAGGGAAAAAAAAAACCTCCACCAGTTCTACCAGTAGTTAATATGATAGATCTTTACACACCTTAACAATTTTCGATCAACCTGCACATATATCAATAGGACAATTATTAGCAGGAAACCAAAAACTTACAATGAACATAATGAGACAGTTGAGGAAACCAATAGCCTGAAAAATAAATAAAGGAAAAGAAACTGAAGAAGCAGGCCCTTCAGGAACAACAGCACCTCTTAATGAAGGAGCAATGGATACTGGAGAACAAGATAATGGTAAACCTGAAGACGATGATAATTATGGAGAAAATGAGCTATACAGCCTTAGCACGCCTAACAAAAATGACCTAAAGTCCACTGCTTTAAACTGTCAAGCATACATAAAAAAAAAAAAAATCTCTCTAATTGTTGACTCCGGATCCTGCAGATGTATTATATCATTAAAATTACTAAAAGAACTTGATATGAAAATAGATAAAGCTTCCAAGACAATCATGGTAAATGTTAATGGAGAAAGAAGACAACCTCTTGGAATGTTACTAAAGTACCCTTAAGAATAATGGGATCAATTATCACATTTGACGCTTTAGTAATTTTTTTTTTTTTTTTTTTTTCAGTACATATAGTGTTTGGATGAGACGTTAATGACCCAGGATCTCAAGTACCCTATCAGCCGGTCTCACCCACAAGGTCTCCGCCGGCTCATATGTCCATTGGCAACCTACACTTGTTGTAACTGGCCCAGATATTGCCGTCGCCCTTAGTGGTGCTGTTGCTAGAATTAAGCCCATTAGGAAGATTTGACCCCCCCTGCCGGTTACCAGCTATCCGGGACCACATATCACTATAGGACTGAGGGATCCATTACACCATATACCTTGCTAGGGTATACTTTACCCCAATTAATGCCGCAGGGTTCATGGGATTATTACCACAAGATTTGCCCAAACGGTGAACTAACGGGGGTGATGA